CTCTGAAATCAATAAAAATATACATATTTTAAAAACCTTTCACACATTAATCAGTTATTTAAAATTCCGTTTGATAATTACAACATGTGTCATATCTGACTCTGGTTCTGATGATTGCTCTCTCTCTTCTGTGTTTGCCTTGCCTTTTGGCATGCCTTGTAATTTTTTGTTGAAAGCCAGACATGTTTTACTGAATAATAGAAACCGAGGTAAACAGGCCTCACATGTGAGGATTTACCTGGCGAGGGAGTGGACTGTGTTTAATGTTTGCTGTAGTTATAGCACCAGAGGCTGCAAATTCTTCCTTTTGTCTCTGTCTTAACTTTGGTTTTCCCTAATTATTCCTCCTCAAGAGTCTGTCTTGCAGCTTTCAGCTGTAATCCACTATGATTATACTGGAGTCCTGGTGGTGTGGGGTAATATTGGGGGATGGGGTTCTATAATCTCCAGGTCAAATCTCAGTGTTTCCGTGGGCCTGTAATCTTCACGAGTGTTTCCCTGATGGTATAGCTTTCCCCTTGGCACCTTCCTCCCTCCGTGCCTGAAGCTTTCCCAATACATTTCCTTGACGTCTTCACCCCTGTTGATGTATTCTTTTTCCCCTTGGGTGAGACAGGAAGGCTAGATGGGCTAGCCGCTAGAGTGAGAATATCCTTCCCTCGGGGATAAGGCTCTGGCAGTCTTTTACCCTTCAGAGTAGGCCTTTGTAATAAAGTTCTAGGCATATTTTACAATGATTATTCATCTCCTCTCCCTGCCAGAGCCATAGGGGGTCTTTCTTGTTCTTCACTGTGGGGATCTGGTGGGGTTCCTGGAGGGAAAGCCCAGGAACCTGCGGAGACCCCTCTAAGACTGCGACCACACTCAACCTCCAGCAATTCATCAACGTTACCATGTATGGGTTCCAACCCGCTTATCGCTCCAGCAGTTTCTGCTCCAGGGATACAGATTCTGTCTCTCCAGATTTGGGGGCGGTAATTTGCCCTGCAACCTCAATTCTCTGATGGGTGGGTCCAGGAAAGGTCAATTTCAGTCTGTTCAGCTATCTCTTGTTATAAGGACAAGATCTTTACATGTTTCAAGCTCCTTACATGTCAGAGCTGAAACCAGAGTCCCCTTTATTTTATTTTGAATGGCCATTCCCTTCCCTCCATCTTGTCCCATACCGGCCCTGTCTCCTATCTGGCTGTACTCACAATGAACTTTCCATGACAGTGTTCTAACAAGACTGAGTTTCTTGAGAAAAAGGCCCATATTTAACCCCTTGTCTATGTAATACTTTGCCCATATAAAATGCTAAACGCATTGGTTTTACTGGTCACTTCCACGTATGGCACTCATCTAACAGTAAAAGCTTCGTGGGGCGGTGTTCCCCAGCACCCTGTCCTCTGAACTCCCTTTTGGGCTTTGGAATGAATTTTCCCAAGGCAAACTTCACTTACTGTAAATCAAGATTTACAAAAGTAACTTCTCAACATCTGGTAAGTCCTGACATTTTCTCAATTTTCTGATTTCTTTTTGTAATGACTTAAGTAGCCAGGTTAAAGTAGTCAAGATAAAATCTGATCAAATTCTGCCCTAGCTGGTTTGGCTCAGTGGATAGAGCATTATTATACTGCGGACTGGAAGGTCCCGGGTTCAATTCTGGTCAAGGGCACATGCTTGGGTTGTGGGCTCAATCCCCAGAAGAGGGTGCGCAGAAGGCACCCAATCAATGATACTCATCATTGATTTTTTTTATCTCTCTCTCCCTCTCCCTTCCTCTCTGAAATCAATAAAAATATAAAAAAATAAATAAAAAATAAAATCTGACCAAATTCCTAGAAATCAAAGGGCCTCTAGCTAAGTGCCCAAACCTGACTGTTTCCAAATTATCTGGGAATATATTTTTTAAAATAAAGTCTTGGACCCAATCTTGAGAGTAATTGTGGTGTACAGCTAAGTTTGGGAAAATAGGATACTTCTAATCAGCAGGCTCTTCAGGTCAAAAAGTGCTTTGATACCCTCACTTAAAGTCAAACTAAAAAAACAAAAACAAAACTAAAAAAACCCCCAGCCATTTAATCACTTATGTTCTGCCTAGAGGACATAGGAAATGTTACTGAAAATTCACCCTTTCATTCACTCAATAAATTTATTGAGCATCAAAGAAGGCCTGCGTACCAAGTCACAGCCCCTGTCCACAAGAAGAGTCAGATATACTTATTCCAGGGCCATCACATCCTGGCTAACCTGGAGTATGTCACTTAAGCTTTCAGAGCCTCAGTCTTCTCATCTATAAAGGAGAATATTATTTCATAGGAAAGTTCTCTGACAAAGGTCACAAAGGAACTATTGAGGAAGACATACTCTACCCTTCTAAAAGTTTCTAACTTGTTTCCCAGTCCAAACACTTGCATAATGTAATAATCCCAGCTTGCACCTACTTAGTGGTTCATCTATATGCCAGGCAGTGTGCTAAGCTCTCTACCTGTCCATCCACATTTCAAACAAATCTTATCTGTAAAGGCCTCCCCCTTTCATTGGCTATATTCGTCCTCACTCCTGTAACCCAAACAGGCAAAGTAAGCCGAGGCAACCAGAATAGGACTTTTAACGTAGAGTGGGCCATAAGAGAACCAAGTTGAAAAGCCACAGGATGTAATAAATAAAAGATGCTCCCAGCAACCCCCACCAGAGGTCATCATCACTACTGAGGATCACAATGGGCAGAACCTCCAAAGAAAAAACCAAATACCAGATAAACCCACCCAAAAACTGCCATGGATTTAGTGGTACCATTTGCTGTTACTACTAATATATCTGTGATTACCACTGCCATCAGAGAACTAGTATTAAGCCTTTACACATCCCAGACATTGGTGTTCTATGGACTTGACATTTAGTACTTCACAGCTCTAAGTTACTCAAGGTCCCACTGATGTTGACCCTCTACAGCTGGCAGGAGTTGAGACGAAGCAATTACTTACTAGGACACAGAGCCCACGACTCTTGCTGCATAACCCACTGCCAAGTTCACTTCCATTCTTTTAGGAAGACTCTTAAGGGCTTCTAGAACATCCTCCTGTGTGGTTAGAGTTAACAGCCCCTGCATTTTTACTTTACAGGTTAAAGATGTAATTTTAACATAGACCATGGTTTCACTTCTCTGAAAGACAACACTGAAGAATACCATCCCTGGCAAAAACATGTTACCTGGAATAGATAACTTTTCACATAACTTAAAACCTTCAGCTTTCTGGAGTATGCCTGCCCTTAGGAAACTGTAGTGGTTAGAAGTAAGCAGGCCAATACAGTGCATCCTAAACCACATTATTCCCTCATATATGAATGACCAAAATCAAAATTCCACAGTGAGTGGAAACCTCAGCACTATTGACATTTTTCTCCTGTGAGAAGCTATCCTGTGCCTCACAGGGTCTGTAGCATCTCTAACTCCTGCCCCACTGGTTTTCGGTGGCATTCTCCAGTAGTGACGAGCAACATCATCTCAGGATGTTGCCAAATGTCTCCTGGGGTTAAAGTCATCCCTGGTTGAGAACCACTGCTTTAGTGGTATCATTCAGTTTAGCAGAGCTACCATTACTTTGTTCTGAATACCGAAAACAGACTTTATTTCTCTAGCTCAATGAAATAAAATTCACATTGTTTAGCTTTGTGTCTTATAGTAAGTGAAAGCTCCAATATTATGGAATTGTGAAATACTAAGGCTTTATAGGGCAGCTCTGACTTTGCCCTGTGATTTCCAATCTTCTTGGTGGAAAACCTAATTTGACTGAGACCTAAGCTGGTTTCCTCTCAAATGGACAGACGTGTCTCTAGGTGCTGCTCTGGTGTGGGAGGACAAACCTGCCTTACCTTGGGGATGAACTCTGGGTCACTGTGGGTCCCATAAGCACCGGATGTTGTGCAGAATCAAACTAAAAACCACATTCTGGCTGCAAAGCTCTGGCCATACCACAGGCTACGCAGCAAGGAGTCATGTATTTTCTGTTTGTTTGTTTTTATCATTCTGTCTCTAGGTGCTGCTCTGGTGTGGGAGGACAAACCTGCCTTACCTTGGGGATGAACTCTGGGTCACTGTGGGTCCCATAAGCACCGGATGTTGTGCAGAATCAAACTAAAAACCACATTCTGGCTGCAAAGCTCTGGCCATACCACAGGCTACGCAGCAAGGAGTCATGTATTTTCTGTTTGTTTTTCTTTATCATTCACTAGAGGCCCGGTGCATGAATTTGTGCACGGGTGGCATCGGGCCAGCCTGCCCTGATGGGGGCCCATCGAGGCTGGGCCGGTGGGGGGAGGGGCCACGGGCGGTTGGCCAGCTGTCCCCGCCCCTGATCGGGGTATTGGGAGCCAATTGGGGACCGGGTTGACCGGGGGTCAGGGGACGATCAGGGCCCAGATCAGGCTGGTTGGCTGCTGCAGTGCACGTCATAGCCACCGGTCATTCCAGTCGTCCATCATTCCGGTCACTGGGTTTTTATATATATAGATACAAGTCAGGCTTTTTTATCATTTATACAAGTTTGTCTTGGTTAAAGAAGATCAAGAGTGCCACTATCCCAAACCAAATTAGAGAGCATGAATCTGCGACTACAAAAAAAGTTTTTACACCCTTGCTAAGTTTAAGTCACTCAGATGAACTACAAAAAAAAAAAATTCTTCTATAAACTAGGAGACATGGTATTGACTTATCTTAAAAGGCCTTCAAAAAAGAATGACTTGAGATTATAAAGCATTTTTATACACAAAGAAGTACTTCATAATGACTCAATAAGCCTTAAGGAATGCTTTCTTTTTCTTAGTACATCACTTTTTTTGTTGTGTAAAAGAAAATACCCCATTCAAAGGGTGGTGGCATATTTGATATCACCACTGTTTAAAGAGGAATGAAGTTACAGGAATGAGAAGTATATAATTAGTAAATAATCCCTCTCAACAAGTGAGTTAAGTAGGAAAGTTATAAAGGAAGAAAAGAAAAGCCGGAGGCAACACAATCAGTGCATATCAGAAATGCAGTTTTATTTTTATTTGAAAACAACTTAAATTTTTAGACAAATGATTTTAGTATATAAATTTGATTTTGTTTTTGTACAGAATATAAAGATTCCCCTCGTTGATCTTCCATGTGAAGGGCATTACAAGCCTGAAGGGATACATTCTGCATACGAGTGTGTATCTTGTGTGCAGGATGCTGGCAACCAGTGGTCCAGTGCTCCTACACGTAAGTTAGGTCAAGGACATCACATATTAAAAAGGGGATAAGAGATTTCTAGTTAATCAGATTCAAGAAGCAAACATGACACAAAAACTGTGCAGCTGAGACGAGTTCAGTAACTTTAGTCGGGACACTGCGGATTATGCTGGAGTAACAGGTGTGTGAGGTGATAGTGTGCAGCACATTAAAGAGCAAGGAAGAGCTATTATATAGAAAGGCTGGAATGAGGGATTTCACTAAAGCAAATTAACTTCTTGTCAACTGCCAAAGCAAAACAAAACAGAGCAGAGCGCATGAGTGTTAGTATACTGCAGGCATGTTAGACCAGTTTCTGTGCAGCATGCTAAGTTAGTTAGAACTTCTTCACTGGCGCATACGATCATTCATAGTCACAGAAAGTTTTTTTTGCCACTTCTCGGCAAATTTCAGGCATGTCGTATTTTAGATGGAGTATAGCTTTTATCTATTATTTCATCCTGTAAAAACATGTGGAGACAACGTTCATTCTGTGCCAGGGGATGACCAGCGACCCTACAAATAAAAGAGATAAATTTAGTCCAATCTTTTATAAAAAGAGGTGGGAGGAGTTGTCAAACACATAGTTTAAGGTTAGTAAGCAAATACAATTTAGTAATTGTAGGTGTTACTCGGAACTGCCCATAAATGTATGCTCTAACAACGTTACCAAAGTTTATGGTAAATTTTCTTTCCTTTGGTTCACAAGGTAATTTGAAAACATTCAATCACTAGCGTTGCACTGCTTCTGGCATTATGCACCCAGTCAGCTTCTTTACCTATTAGATAGTATTTTATAAAAACTTAAATTAACTTTAATATTAAAAGTAAAATAAGACCTGATTCTGAGAATCCATTTTAAAGAAGGAAAAGATATAGGATTAGAGCTAGAAATACACTGGAGTTCAATAAAAGCCCCAAATAGTAAGAAATAGGCACCAATGTACAGAGGGTGTTTTTTTTTGGGGGGGGGTGCCTTTATTTATTTAAAAGCTTTATTTATTGATTTTAGAGAGAGGAGTGGGGAGGGGGGGGAGAGAGAGAGAGAGAGAGAGAGAGAAACATTGATATGTTGTTCCACTTGTTTATACATTCTTTGGCTGATTCTTGTACGTGCCCTGACTGGGGATTGAACCTGCAGCTCTGGCATATTGGGATGATGCTCTAACCAACAGAGTTACCTTAGCCAGGGCTGCTTTTAAAGGTTTCCACTAGACCTAATACAAGATGAGACTGGGCAAAGAGACTTCTATTTCAGAATTTAAAAACATCTAATCTAGCAATGCCTTCTCTAAAAGGAAAGTATGTTCATAAAAAGACAACGAAGGTCATGTCTACAGTAGGTAACTAGAAGTTAAAGGCTTTGTATAACTTTTCTTCTGTTTACTTACCACTCACAGATCTTCAAACCACTGGATAAAATTAAAGTGCTTCTAATAAATAGCTCACACAACCATATTCTCTAGGACTTGGCCTTATTTGGTTAAACTTAAGACAATACATAATTATTCTGAATGCTTTCCTGGCATAACTCTCCCTATTGGCCTTTTAAAAATTCCCATTTTTAAGTGGAAATAAAATTTTAAGTTATAAATTTTACTTTGAGCTTAAGAGTTTCTAAAATAAAAGATAAACAACCCTAAATCTTCTTGCATTTCCAAAATAATGTATTTTGCCATAAAAATTTAAAAATGTGCATTTTTACAAGACTTGCTGATAATACCTCCATCTGCAATCAAACAAAATGATTTCAAATGTATTTTAAGTTTTATTGTTCCTACTAGAACATACCTTAAATCAGAAAGAATCATAAGTAAAACTGTATTTTTAAATGCTATAATTTTAAATGCAATTTGCATAAATTAACCAAGAAAAACAAATACAAAACTTAAGTCAAAACAAAGATACTCATTTACAATCACTCAAGTGTATTTTATCATATGATATTCAACTTGTTATATACTGCTACTTTGTTTAAATAATACAAAAAATTAGTTAGGAAATGGCCAAAAAGAAAAGCAACATTAAAGTTTAGCTTAATATAAAAATTACTAGTAGTCACATAAGGTAGTCTCAGAACACTGTTCCCTCTTACACCCTGAGAATCAGAAAGCACTTACTTGTTTATAAACTGCTCCAGCCCTTGCTTCCTTTCTTCAATGAAATTGTCATCAAATATTCCATCATCTCCTCTAAAAGGAAGTTGACGCAAAAATGCTTTCCCAGGGAGTGGGGGAACTACAACCTAAAACAACATAAGGAAAGAGCGTTCTCAAACATGCTAGTTGTGAACATTTATAGAGCACAACATGAAGATACAGTATATCCTCACTATGACAGCCATCCCACTGTCAAACTTGTTTAAATATAAAAGGGAATCAGCAAAAAACACAATGAAAAAATATTCAATGCAAAATAGCTCATCAGAACAAAGCTCCTTAATGGCTGGGCCCCTAGCTTAATTATCACTTTTCCTGGACTTATTAGCAAAGCACAACTATACAAAGAGAACATTCAAGCAATACTGAAATAAAAGCTGCCACGCCCCTCAGACAGTTTTGATGTCACTTGGGAAAGACAATGCTTTATTCTGATGGAAACTGCAGGGACCAAAATCAACTCTCAATTCAACAAAGAAATAAAATATTAACAATGTTGACATAGGCAGGTAAGAATTAAGTGATCAGTTTCTTCTACCTCAGACCATCCTGTACATGGTATATCCTACTTGTGTCTGAGGTGATGATAAAATAATCAACAACTTGTCACCACTTTCATTTCCTAGGCTAAGAAACATGTTAACTTTCTCCCACATCTGCTATCCTATCTTTCCCCAAAGACCTGTCATTTCTTCCTTCCCACCCTATAGGAACATCCCAAATTTTGCCCTTCAAAGCCTAACTATCCTCTAGGATCAACTTATACTGTATCTCTCTTCTGGAAATTATTTGGAGGTCAAATGTTTGTTTGAATTAAACAGCAGCTAGCTAGCTCTTTATTTCACAGGTTAGTTTGGCTTCTTTATCTGAGAGTTTCTCAACCATGGCACTAACTACATAATTCTTTGTACTGGAGGTGCATTTTCTTTTGCACTATAGAATACTTAATAGCATAGATACCACCAGTAGTACCCCTAGTTACGACAATAAAAAATGTCTCCTAAAGTGTCAAGTGTCTCCTGGGGGACAAAACTGCCTCTGTGGAGAACCACCAATCTAGACTATTAATGCCTTCAAATCAAGAACCCTCTTAGATTACTTATGGTCATTTTAATAAAAGCTGGGCATACAAAATAGAAGCTCAAATAGCTGTTAAATGACCAACCACTTAGCTGGAACCTATCTTACACCAAAACAGAAAAAAAGGTGTAATCACACAACGCAAAGGAGAACTATAAATAGTAAACAACAGTAATACAAATCATATGTATTCTAAGATGTAAAACTTCAAACCCTTAAAGCAGAGTTTCTATAACTAGGAGTTATCCTAAAACAATAATTCAACAGGGTAAAAAGGGAAAGAGCAACACAACTTCATACAGATTAGCAAAAATAATCCTACATAATAAAAGGCTAATATGCAAATCAACTGAATGGTGGAACGACCGGTCGCTATGACGCGTACTGACCACCAGGGGGCAGATGCTCAATGCAGGAGCTGCCCCCTGGTAGTCGGCGCGCTCCCACAGGGGGAGCGCCATTCAGCCAGAAGCCCTGAGCCAGGCTCATTGCTAGCGAGCAGAGCAGCAGTGGCAGGAGCCTCTCCCGCCTCCACAGCAGCATGAAGGATTTCCGACTGACAGCCTAAGCCATCAGTCAGACATCCTCCAAGAGCTCCCAGACTGCGAGAGGGTGTAGGTCAGGC